ATTATATATAAATAAAAATATAATAATATATAAAATAAAATATAAATAATAAGAATATCAAACTAATAAAATATGATAAATATAATAATAAAGAGATAATATGATGATATATATATAATACAATAATAGAAATAAATATAATAATAAAATACATAAATAACATAATAATAACATAATAATAAAAATGTATACATACATTGAATCAAATATCATTTCTGAATCATTTATATTTCATAACAATTTACCATAAAATGATATAAAATATAATCAGATATAATTGAATATAGAATGATTATTTAATTTACTTTTTTATTTTTTATTTTTTTTAGGAGCAAAATAATAAAAACTATTATTTTATTGATGTAAAATATTTTGCCCCCACAAGAAATAGAATAAATTAAGAACACTAAGATTAAAGAATATAATCAACAATAATGAGAAGATGGTATTTACTTGCAAGAGAAAAAACAAAAATGATTAGAATGGAAGAAGAAACGATCAGTATGACACTTGAAGAAAATGATAAACAACTAAATCAAAATGAAATAAATGATAAATACTTAAATAAGAAATATGTAATATTGAAAATGATGATGAAAATGAAATTACTGAAGAGAAGAAGAGACTTAATGAAAAAGAAAAGATGAAATTAAAAGAAGAAGAAGAAAAGAACAATGAAAAAGATAAAAGGATAGAAGAATTAAAGAAAAGAATAGAGGAGGCTATTAAAGAGAAAGAAGAACTGAAAAAAGAAATACAAAAGAGGGACCAGACCATTAATAAATTATCAAATGACATTATTTCATTAAAGAAGAAGCATGAGAATGAGATAAACACTAAAAAACAAGAAGTGATAGAAAATTATTCGAACTCCATGCTGAATCAGAAAAGAAAATGTCTGAGGTAAACAATTTATCACAACAAGTATACTTCATGAAAGATAAATTATTTAAATTACAAAATAAAATTACACAAGAAGAAAGAAGAGATAAATCACACTATATCTGACTCATCTGAAACACAAATTGTGAATGACCTCACCCCCAATGTTGTAGTAACTGATGAAATATCATCAAATAAAGATGATCTTCAAAAAAAAGAAAGTTAACTCAGAATTCAATCGAAGAGATGGGAAATCAGCATAAGAAGATCACCACATCTGATCATGACATTCAAAAAATGGGGAGTAAAAAGATAGAGAAGAAGAAATTCTAACATTCTATAAATGTTTTACACTGAAGTTATTAGAAATAAAATTAAGAAAACAACTTAAAGAAGAAGAAATAAAAAGATTAATACATGAAATTGATATTAAAATAGAAGATATTAATTAATATAAAGAAATAATAAAGAAAACATTTAAAATAAAGAATGAAATTAAAATTGAAGTCAATAGAAGAAATGAAGAAGAATTAATAATACACCAATGGAAAGATATTGAATTAAAAGAATTAATAAAATAAATAAGAAATAAGAAATACAAGAAGAGGAGGTAATAAGAATAAATAAATAAGAATAAATGAAAGAACAAGAATATGTACAATTTATTAATTATTATTACAATAAAAACAAAATACATCAAATAATTAATATCATTAATACAAATGAAATATTAATCAATACATTAGATGATTATTATCATTATATTAAAACTATAACATCCACTATTAACATCATTATTAATAACAATCAAGAAAGAAGTGGAAGGAGAATAGAAAGAATACTACAATCAAAAATATATAGATTAAGAGACTTGCTCTATAATAATCAATATATGAAATTAAAAATAATATTATATATTAAAAAATATGATATATATCATATTAAAATAAAAACAAATGATCAAATAAACTATTACAAATATCTCCAAAGAATGAAAAGAATAGAAATAGAAGTAAGAAAGAATAATTGGAAAAGAATAAGAATGAATTATAAAATGTTAAAATAATGAAAGAGACAACTTCTAAATAAACATAAAGAAGATGAATATCCAGATAATATTACTACAATTAATTTCTTGAAATGAATCTATGAAAATAACACCAATATAGATTTCATAAATATTAATTTATATGATATATTAATTGAAAATAGAATTAATAATAGAATGTGTGTAATCACTCTAGATGAATTAAGTCATGCAATAAAATTCATTGATAATTGGAAAGCACATGGAATTGATAAAATACAAGGCTTCTGGATTAAATAATTAGAACAACCAAAGAATTTCTTATTAAAATTATTTAATAAATTGTTGTATAATCATAATGATATCTATATTCAATTCTCAAATGAAGAACAATATTAATATATAAGAAATGAAATAAATTATATAAACAAAATTACAGACAAATAACTTGTTTAAATTGTATGTTAAAAGTATATACATCTTTATTAAAAATTAAATTTGATGTAAAAAATATACATATTATCAAAAGAAGGATTATTATACAATATTATAATCCAATCAGTTATTAATTAAAGCTAAATGGAAGTGGGTAGAAACATATTATGATATTTCTAAAATATATGATAGTATTAATCATCAATTTGTTAAACATTGTTTAATTTATTTTAACATCACACTGGTTGTAATTAAATGGTGTATAATTAATGTAGAAAGATGAATAATACAATGTGATAGTTTATCTAAATTATTATTTGTATTATTTATTGATATATTATCTAAAAAATTAGATAAATAAATTAATATTTTATCTATTAAAATGAATGGAGAAAAAAAACAAGTACAGTTAAACAACATATTATATATTGATGATTTAAATATAATAACTAACAACATCAATGAAATGGAAAAATCCCACAAATTAACAAATGAAATATTTAATGTAATATGATTAAAAATAAATGTAGAAAAGAGTGGGATAATGACTAATATCAATGATCAAATAAATTGAGAATTAGCTGAATTACCAAGAGTAACTAATGATAACAATTATAAATATCTTAGTATTGAAATAAGAGATAAAATAAATATTAATAAATATTGTACAAGAATATTAAATGATGTATCTTCTATTCTATCATCATTAAATATTATGAAATATAGTACCATCAATACAATAAGAAAAATTAATAGCGATATAATCTCAAAATTAAGATATGGATTCTGTATTGTCCCATGGAAACTTGGTGAGTTTGAGAATATAGATAAATAAATAATAAATTCATTGATACAACTCAAACTATACAGTAGAAACATCCCTAAAAGTAGATTATATGTTACAATAAATGAATTATGAATGAGATTAATGCCATCACGAGATGAATGTTGTAATGAAATAATAAGAATATATTTAAAATATAAATATCAAATACAGAAATATTAGAAATGATAGAAGTAGTAAAAGAGAATCCAATTTGAATAATTAAAAGAATGAAGAGAGCATTTTGTAAGAAAATTAATTTCAATGAATGAATATAATACAAATAAATGAAATAAAACATGATGTAAACAAAGTATTTGAATTTGTAACAAATAAATAAAATAAATGATATTTAAATGAATTGAAAGAAATGAAGTGAATATATAAGAAATGTAAATTGTATATTTAATAATAAGAAATTATCAGTAACCACATGGTGGTTATTAAATATAAAAAGAAATGTATTCATCAAAGTAGTAAAGATACAAGAAGGAGTAACTATGACAGGAAATATTAAATCTAAAATACTCAATTGTGATATATTAAAAATATTTTAAACAATGTTATATCACAATTCCATCTATTAGTCATATATTGTTATAATGTCCTGTAATGAAGAATAATCAAATATCAAAACATGAATATGTATGTAATCAAATATATAAACATATATTAATTATTTTAATGAATTTGATAAAATAGATTTTAATACACATCCTAAGTGTATTAATAATAATGAAATGGTTATAACTTATAATAAAGATTTATTGGTTAATGGTCATTCTTTTAATGTTAGAATACCAGATATATATTATCAAAAACATCAAAGATAAAAATGATATATTAATGATGTTGATATATATTAAGATAGAAATAAAGAATAAAATTATATTTATAAAATAAATAAATACAAAGAACTACAAGAGAAGTTAATACAAAGTAGAGAATTAACTTATGTAGAAATAATACATGTAATATTAACAATAAAATAATAAAGAAACAATAAGAAGATTAAAAATACTAAAATTACAAATTGACTTCAACAAAATACTACGAACAATCATTATTAAAAACATGAAATACTTAATGTTCTACATATTTAACATTTGCAACACATTGCAAAAAGAACCTTCTAATTCTCATATGTTAGAAATGAACTCTATTATAAAAATATAAAATATTGAAATCACTGAAATAATCACTTCTCAATAATCATAATATCAAATTATGGATATATCTATTAATTGATATTTTTTTTCTTATTTCTTTTTGTTTATTATTATGTTATTGTTTATATATTAATTGTGTTTTATTATGTTATTTATGATAAATGATTGAATTTATTTGAAATAATGATAAAATGTAATGATGATGAAAAAGAAAAGAAGAAAGAAATGATTATTAATAAAGTAATTGTTAATATAAAAATTAATATGATAAAGTATTTATATTAATACAAATATATTTATTTCAACACAATCTTCTATCATTTATATTTCATGATATTGATTTAACATTCTTTTATTAACTTTTTATATTTTCTGTTTTCATACTATATCTCAATTTTGAAGACATTAAATTAATAATGAAATAAATAAAAAACAAATAAGAAATAGGTAATAATTAATATTTTATTATAATAAGAAGTGAATATTAGTTTGTTCAACTTATTTTATTTTTATTCAAATAGTGTTTTTTCAAACAAATTGGACTTATAGATAAGAACATAAGATAATAAAAAAAGAAAGAAAAAGAATAAAATATAAAAAGAAATTTTTATAAAGAAGAAGAAAAAAGAATTATCAAAGAAAAAGATAGAAAAAATAAAGAAAATTAAGAATGAATAAAATGTTGGAGTTTTAGTTTAAAAGGTTCGTTTTTCTTAGTTGTAGGAAGAGAAGGATGAAGAAAAGTATGAAGATCTAATGGATATTCAAATGTGTCAATCATAATGATATCTCGTGGTTGTCCTAGAATAGCTTTCATAGATTTAATTGAACGATCTGGTTTTCTCCCAAAAATACAATAGACAAATTCTTTTTCACTACCAGTTAATATTGATTTATTTTGTTCCATCCATGAACGAATTGGACCTATAACATATTTTCCTGAAGTTTCACCAACTATATAAATAGGATTATAAGGAGTAAAATCTAAAGCATCATAAATAATAGGAATTTTACTAATTTTATTGGTTCCATCACGATTTAATTGTGATCTGTAATAGAGTTTTGGAGTTTTAACCTAAATAAAATTAAAATTAAACATAAATTTAAGAAGAAGAAGAAAAAAAAAAAGAAACTTCATAAATATCACCATGTACAGCTAATGCAAGTTTATGAGCAATTTCACCTGAAAGAGATTTAATATTACTATAATAAATGATTAAAGGTTTTGTCATTAAGATAAAAAAATTTATAAGAAAAAATTAAATAAATAACAAAAACTTTTCATCTCAAAAAATCATCTAAAAACCCCAAAAAAGAAAACTATAATTAATGATAAAATAAATTATAATATAATAAAATAATAATAAATATAATAGAAAAGACATTCAACTCTAATATAATATAAATGAAAGGAATAATATATTTAATAATATTTAATTTTCTAATTATAAATGTAAAAAGTGAAGATCAAAAAGATTATTATGAACCAGGAGGATTATTTTGGGGACTTTCAACAAGTATGGTATTAATAGTAATAATTGTAATATTTAGTGGATTAATTATTGATGCAATCAAAATGAAATATTTTGATATATGGAAAGGAATTTAAATATAAATTAAATATAAATTCAAATAATTTAATTTTATTTATTAAAATTTTTAATTATTATTTTAAAATCAAAATAAAAAAAAAAGGATTAAAGAAATTATTAATTTAATTTTATTCATCAAATTGTTCTCTTGCAACCATTCCTAATGAAATTTCTTTATCACCATTAATAAATAATTCAAGTTGTTTTTGATCTTGTAATAATGTTTGAATTTGACATTGTTCATTTAAATTTTTATTAAGAACAAATTCTTGAAATTTTTGTTCTAATTGATAAATTATAGGAGTATTAATCCATAAATATTGATGTAAATATACATAAAGTAATGATGATGAATAAATATCTTCAATTTTAAGGAAATAATTAAATATTCCAATAATATCTTTTTGATTATTATTTTTAAGACAATATATCATAAAATAATGTTCCCAAATAGTATTATAAATAATTTCCATATATCTTTCAATTTTATTCATTTCACTTATTTTTTTAAATAAATATTTTACTGTTTCTATAAATATTTCTTTTGTTGAATTAAATCTTCCATGAAATTTACAAATACTATTCATTGCTTTTCCAAATTCATTTCTTGCAACTAAATATCCAATATATAAATTAAAACTTTCTATATTATCAATTAATGTTACTAATGTATCAATATATTTATTTGGTTTTTTAATTATTACTTTTTCATAATATCTAAATACTACTGGAATAATATCTGTAATAATACTTTCTCTTAATTCAATATTAACTCTCATTGTATCATAAAAATATTTATATTCTTCTGAATCAAATGCAACTAGTAATCTTGCTATATTTGGTATTTCTGGTAATTCTATAAATGCTGGAATATCTCCAATATATTCATTAAGTCCATGAATAATAAATAAATAATTTAAATATAATTGATATGATGGATAAATTTTATTATTCATTAAATGTATTATCATTAAATTTATTCCAACTGGATAAATACTTCCTTCCATAAATAAATTTATCATTGGTGTTATTAATGTTCCATTAACTTTTATTATTTCTTTTTTTCTTAATTCTCCAATATATTGAATAATTGGTAAATAATATCTTATTCCATATAAATTTTGTTCAATTCTATCTAAAATATTTGTTTCTTCTTTAATTTTTAAAAAGATTTTTTTAATAATCATAAGTTTTTCTTCTACTTCTTGTAAAAATATTCTATCAATATTATCTTCTTCCATTATTCTTTCTTTAACTTCTTTATTAATATCTTCATAATATATTCTAAAAAATTCTTTTATAACTTTATTAACTCTATTATCTTCACTTTTTTCTTCTAATTCTTCTATTAATATTTCTATATTTCCTGTTCCTATTAATATTTGTAATCCTTCTGTAATAAATTTTGCATTTTCTTTATATTCTGGTAATAAATATCCCTTATTAATACTATCTTTATAATATGAAATACATTCTTCATCTCCTCTTCCAAATATTAAACATGGTATTAATCTAATACATTGAATCATTCTTTCAAATCCTGGTGATGTACAAATAATACTACTCCATTCTTTTTTTCCTATTATTTCAATATAACTTGGATAATATATATTATTCCCTTCTTTATTATATCTTTTATATTCTTCAAATTCTTCTTCATTTTCTCTTTCTTCTACTCCTATAATTGGTTCTGTAATTTTTATTCCTGTCATATTATTACTTAAATTTCTTCCTTCTGAATCAAATATACTTTGCATTATTTCTTTCTTTCCTTTATCATAAACTATTATTGTTGTAATTCTTTCTTTTCCTTCATGACTTTTTCCTGCTAAAAATCTATAATTTTCATATATCATTAAATCTTTATATTCTAATCCATATCTTTCATCTATTCCAAAGAAATATATTTCTGTTCTATTTCTTCCATATAATATTCCTGTAATATAATTCTCTTTTTTTTCTTTACTAATTTTATATATTATTTTTTCAACTGCACAATGTTTTTCACTTATTATTTGTATAGAAAATATTATTTTTGGTATATTAACTTGATATCCAAACATAATTCCATCATTCCCTCCTACTATAACTATTATTTCTTTTTCTATTCTTTTTATAGAAATAAATGTTGGTACAAATTCTTCTAAATAAAATATATTTGTAAATGGTCTTCTTCCTGATTCAGATATTTCAATATATGGTCTACTATCACTTATTCCTTTCATATAATTTGGTTGACTTGTAAATGTTGGATATGATACTTCACAATATGTTGCTTCTTTATTACTTTCTTCCATTTCTTTAATACTTAATTTCTTTTCAATTGGTCTTCCTATTTTTCCAAAACAATTAATTCTAACTATTTTAATTGAAAATCCTTTTGTAGTAACTATAAAATAATAATAATTTTTATTATTTCCTATTTTAACTTCATTAAATACTTTATTTACTCCTTCAATATAATAATTAATTATTTCATTCCCTTTATTTTTAATTACTCCAATAGTATTTTCCATTACAATTATTATTCCACTTTCAATCCCTGTATCAACACTTACTGCTGACATTATTTCACTTTGACATTCAATACTTGTTTTATTTATTTTTGATTCTTTAGAATATATTTCAATTCTTTTCCCTTCTATTCTATAATACATTTCTCCTTCTTTACAGAATCCATTTATTTTTCCACTTGGATATTCTTCTTCTACTCTACTATTTTCAAAATATACTATAGGTTGGTCTCTTAACTCCATATTATTTATTCTTTATTTAAGTTCTTTTTCTAAATACCTTTATTTTTTATTATTTTTTATTATTTTTTATTATTTCTTTTCTCTTTTTTGTCAACCCTTAAATTTTTTCTCCTTTTTGATTTTTTTTTTTTTTTGACTTTCATTTCTTCTCTTTTTACTTTTTCTATTATTTATCTTTTTTTTTTTCTCTTTCTCTTTCTTTTTATTTCTTATCTTCATCATTCTGACTTTTTCTCCTCTCATTAATTTTTCTTCTTACTTTTTATTCTTTCTTGTTTCATCTTATTTTATTTTTGTTTATTGTTTATTCAACTCTGATTCTTTTTGTTTATATTCTTCCTTACAGTTTATTTCTATTATTCATTCTTTGTTTTATTTATTCTTAGTCTTCTATTCCTTGTTATCTTTCTTACTTCTTATTCTTGCTTAAGTTTTTATTTTTCATTTATTTCCCTCATTTTGATTACTATTCTTCTGTTTTCTTTTCATTTCTTTACCATTGGTTTAAATTTCTTTCATACTATTAATTAATTTATTTACTTTTAATGAAAGTATAATTTTGATTGAGTAGATCACAAAAAATATATGATTATTGGATATTGATGTTATTCTTCTCAAAGATAGTGTTAAATTATGTGATAATAAAAAGGTATTATAGAATATAATATATTGGATTGAGAAAGTTAGAAGAAATGAGGGAATGATAGTAAAAAAGACAAAGAAGAGTTAATTATTCTTCTTAGTAGTGGGGGGTTTGTTTCCATAAATGAGGATTTGAGTAACAATGATAATATTAACTAAAGCACCAAGAGTATAAGAGAAAAGCATAGTAAAATCACCATCCATTTCTTTTAAAGTAGTGAAAATTCTAATAATATTACCAGCAGTAAGTCCAAGAGTAGTGAGGAGGGATAAAGATCCAGTAGATTTTTCAACAAAATTAGAGTAGATTTGAGGGATTTTAGCAATAATGAAAAAGGGGATTGTTAAAGCTTGTAAAATTTCTAATAGAGATAATGGGAATAAACCAAAAAATAGAATAAAGAAGAAAGACAAAAAAGTACAAGCAAAAGTATAAAATATAGGAGTAAATTTGTTTGCATAATAAAGAATTAAAAGAATAATAATAATGTCTTGAACAAGTAAAAAGAAATAATCAAAATAAGTACTTAAAGGAAAATTGTTTTGATAATGATAATTAAAAGAAATTGAATAGAGAAATATTTCAATAGTAAAAGATTGAAGAGAAACACCATAACCTGTTTTAGCATTATAAATAGATAGAATTTGAGGGACTTTCATAAACATTGAAAAACTAACAATAATATAACCTAAGAATTTACTTAAAAGAAGTGAAACGTCCATTGAAAAAAGGAAGTTCTATTAAAAAAAAATAATAATAAAATTTATTATTTATAAAATTAGAAATAAATTATTAATTTATTTGATATTCATTCTAAAATTAATTGAATAAAAAATCAAATTAATAATCATTATTCAAATTTTATCATTCATTTCTTATTTCTTTATTTTTTTTATCTTTTATTTTATTCTCTTTTTATTTCTTTATTATTCATCAATTGGTTTTATTAATTTATTCAAATTCATTTAATTATCTTTTTTTTAATTGATTTATCTTATTAATAATAGAATTAATGTTAAAATCTATATTATCATTCTTGATATTTTTGATTATACATATTTTATCAATTAAATTCAACAATTATTTAGAAATTACATTAGAAATAATTTAATAAATTTATAAATCAGAATAAAATCAATATTAATTGATTAAATGAAGATTAATTAAACAATTTATTAAAGAAAAAATATTTATTGAAATTGTTTATGAAAATTATTCTAACAATATCAAAGATAAAATCAAAAGTCAATTTGTATAATTCTATCAATAAAAATAATTATTACATTTATCATAAATAAGATTTAATATTGAAATAAATAATAAAGTTAATTGTAATAAACTATATTAAATGATATTAAATGTATTAGAATAAATATAATAATTCTATACATAAAAAATATACATAATGATATAGTTTTAAATAAAATATAGATTTTTATATTGATATCTAACTATTATAGATAAAATAAGAAAAACAATATTTTAACTTAAATATATTTATAAATATCAATAAAAGAAGATTATCAAATAGAATAAATAAGAAATAGAGAATGAAAATTAAATATAACTATTATAAAGAAATAATAAAACTTAATCTAGATATAAATAAGAAAAGAATAAGATAATTAATCAAATGAAATAAAACAAAGAAAAATACAAATAAGAAGAATAATAAAATAAAAAATAATTTAAATTATTTGTATTTTCATTGTTTTGAGAATTTATTATATTATAATTATTGTTATATTCATCATCAATCTATATATTATCAGAATTTTTATTTAATATGATATATTTTGAATATAACTTAAATCATTATATAATTAATATATAATTTATTTAATTTGTAATATCATTATTGTTATTATATATCATTTTCTTATTTCTTTTAATTTTTTATTAATAAATTATGATTTAATCAAATAATATGTATAATAAATTGAATAATTTCTATTTATATTATCTTTAAATTCATTATTTTCTAATACTTTTATTTATTTAAATACTTATTGATATATTTTCATTTTTTATATTTCTTTCATCATTATTATTTGTTTTATTTTGTTTATTATATTGAAGATATAATTATGATATTCTTATAAATTTAATATCATCTCATGATAATAAGTATTTGTTATAAGTAATTATTATTAAACAATTTATTGATATTATATAATGAAGTGGATATTGTATATTTATATTTTCTATTTCTTTAAGTTATTTATTTGTTATTAATTTAAATATTTCTTCATTTACATATTTATATTATCAATTTTTCTAATCTTTCTCATTCTATATACTAATAATATATATGATATAGATGTTATATTATTTATATAATATTTACATTATTTTATATTTTGATCAATTTATTAATGTATTTTCATGTATTACTATTATTATAATATATTTATTCTTTTATATATTTGCAAAATCTAATGATTTATTAATCATTTATTTATTATGATATTATTCTTTTATTTTATTAATTCTTTTAAATTTTTCTTTTTATTATTCATTTTCTCTTTTTATTTTATTTCTAAAATAATCACTCTTTTCATTATTCATTCTTGATATTTATTTTATTTCTATTATTTTATTGTGTTGTTGATTTTATCAAATTTTCAATTATATTCTAATTATTTCTTTTTTAATTTTATCTCTTCAACTATAATCATAATTGATATCAATTTTTGATATATATAATTTATCTCTTATTGATAATTTAGAATATATAGATTTAAATAAAATACTTTTCTTATTTTTTTCATTTTGTTCTAATTCTCATAATATTTATTTCATTATATAGAATTAATATCTAATTCTTGTTATTAAATCAATATTTAACATCAATATTATATTAATATCATTATTTTATCTTATTATTATATTATTTATTATTCTATATTTAATTTAATCACCACTTTTATTCATAATATTCATAATGTTTATTATTATTAATTATTAATTATTTATATTTGTATATTTTCATTTATTATTATTTATTTTTATTATTAATTGTTTTAATATTCTTATTATTATGTTATTTGAAATTATCATATCTTCATTTCAATTTGTAATTATGTTAATTCATTATTATAAAGTAAATTGTTTATTCATATGTTGATATTATTTTGTTAATTATGTATATTTACTTTTTGAAATATTCTCATTAAATATATTGATATACAATATTTGAATATGAGTATGAGAAATACATTTCAATAGAGTATTCATTTTTCAATATTAATATCAATAATTATGTTATTACAATTATATATTAGTTGTATTTTCAATTCATCGTGTATTTTATATTTCATTTATATCTTCTTTGATATTGTATTATTTAATCATTTTATTATCTAAAATAATTTACATTAATTTATATTTTCTTGATATCATTTTATATTTCTATTAATTTTAATTATAAATAAGATATGTTTATAATAATATATTTTCAATTAATCATTCTTTATATTGATATGAGAATTCTTAAATCCAATTTGTGTTTGTGTTAATTGTTTTAAGATTCATTAATAATTAATAATCAAAATTATTTTTAATAAATGTAATAAATACTTTTAATATATAACTTAAACATGTAATATGTATGTAATTATTATGATTTAATTTGTCTCATTTTATATATTAAATGATTGTTAACCAATTCTTTATTTATTTCTTTTATTCTTTTATTTATATGAGATATTTTATCAAAAGTTATTCAAATACATTTATTCCTTGAATTTTCAATTTTTTGTTCATGATTATATAATTATTTCTTCATCTAATAATTTAATTATTCATTCATAAACATATAATATGTTATTTCTTCTATTAATTAATCATTTATATCATTTATTCTTCTTTCTCTTAC